CGGAAAGCCTTAAAACTCTTGAACAAAAGCTCATCTTTCAAACCGGCAGTCTAAATCCCACAGGGATCAACGAACGCTTTTTATTCCACTAATTTATTCGTATTTTCTTGTTGCCATGTTCCCACCAATAACGTAGCTCTATTTTCTGCCTTTAAAAGCACACACATCCCACAATTCCTCTATTCGCTCCGACGAAGGGCTAACGCTCGAAACGTCAGCTTTTGTAGTCGTTGTTACGGCGGCCAATTTACCATTTCAACAATATATCCAAATTATTTCGCTACCCTCACCGACGCAGCCCCAAACAGTTTCTTTAGAAACTATCAGCTTTTGTTCATTTGTGTTGGTCTTTCTTTCATCGAGTTTGGCAAAGATTTTTCTTTCAGTCACTATTGATATTATATCAAACTGTAACATAATTATTGCAAGTCGTCTCCCAGGCCTTCGAAACTTAGTAATTCACCTGATCATCCGTAAGCGAGCCAAGGAAAATTCAGCGGTGCACCTACTTGTAAAGCTCATCGATGGTATGAGGGATTTTCTTTACCTGCTAGTGTAGATGTAGTCTCTCCTTGTGTTGGCATTGTTGAATATGGACTTTGAGTAACATTGATTGACGAGTAACGTAAAATTCCACCTGACTCCAAGCTCCTGAAGCTCGAGGATATCGTAGCAGTAGGAGTGACTGAACTGCTACAAAGTGAAGCGATTTGAGCTGAAAAATTGATTTTATTGTTATCTTCGAAACAAAGAATGTTACTGATTTCCACACTGACACATAAGGTAATTCCTGTAGCTTCCATGTTGCACATCGTACAGAAGAGTGGAGACTTCATGCCCGCGACAGATTCTTCATTTAAATATGATTTAATTTGGGTCAGTCTGTCTTTAATCGAATTAGGAAAAATATTTTTCGTTAAGTCATTATTGAACTATTGATAATTTATCAAATTGTGACACAATTATTGTCAATCGTCTCCCAGACTTTTTCTCACCCACCTTAAGTGCCCCTGAGATCAAAATTTTCGTACATCTATTTTTTTTTTTTTTTTTCATTTTCGTGTTCAGCGTGTCTCCTTCACCAACCCAGCCAAATTTCGATCTAGTCCGAGCACCAGAAGTATCTTTTTTTGGGCGGTTAAATTCGCGATTTCGCGTCCGCCATTATTTGAGTATGTTCCGAAAGTTGATCGCAAGACTCAGAGGAAGTGACGTCAAAGGCTCAACGCGCAAATCTCCCATGTCAAAATGTCAGGCAAGCATGACAGAGCTTTACTCTATTCTTACGAAAACACACACAAAAATGACAGGGAATTGATGCGTAATTCAAGGCTGTAGCAATCGTACAGGCCATGCTGGTGGTATTTCTCTGCATCCAAGCCTTGCAAATAGGTCAGAGGGGGAAAATCGGGTGCGATTTGTGCGAACCCGCCGGGTAAACTTCAATCCTGCAGGAATATTTGTGATCTGCTCCGAACACTTTTCAGAAGACTGTTTCGAGAGATCTGTGCACTTCGGAGGATCTCGGCGAAGAGTTCAATGCCTACCGTTCCAAAAAAGGGACAAGAAAAACCGTTCTCAGTGCGATCTCGACGAAAGGGAAGTCCACGTGATTCGTTACCTTTACATGTGAGCTGATCAATATCTGCCTTTAACAACTCTCTGGCAGAAAGGAAAGTACTCGGTCATCATTGTAAATAAAAACGATAACATAGCCGAATTAAAGTGGCTCAACACAGTTTTCGCGCGCGCTTTTGCTGATGCAATTCAGCGCGCGCGCGCACAAGGATTGTAAAGAACAAACATGCCGTCAATAGAGCAGTCATTTTATTTACTCAACACGTACCCGCACTATCTGTGCTATTTTTCTCTATAGGTGGCGCAGTGTATTGAGGGCTTTAATCTTTTATTACAAAGATATGTTAGAAAAGTTAACGGTGCAACCTAGTAATTCTCAGCTTTTTCGTTATTACTGAAAGGACCCAGTTAAATGCAGCGCATGCGTAGTAAGTAAAAAAAATTGCGACTGAATAGAAAATTGCTTTCTCGAAAATACGCCTATTTCTTGAGAAACACTCATTAGAATTTCACGAAATTTGGCAAGAAAATACTTTAGGAAATAAGTAACTGGAATATTGAAAAAAATTGATTTTAAACAAAGGAAATTCTAGAAAATCGAGAGAACCTTCAAAAAGGGATAATTGAAGATCTCTTTGTTAACTTGCTAGCAAAATGGTGTTAACTTGTGAGTATCGTTACAAGCTCGTTACATGCAAGTTATAAGGAAAATCTAATGACTAGATTTTCTACAAAGAATCAAAAACCGATTTTAATTGCCTGTTTATATCTATTCATGTCGCTGTGGCAACGGCACCTACGTCAACTTAACTATTGGAAAAACAGAGTTTGTGTTGCTAACTTGCTTGCTGCCAGTTTTGGTGACCGAGAGATCAAGGGTTTTAGAGAAAATGGTGAAAGAAAAAAACGTATCAAAAACTGTGTTCAGCCACCTTAAGGAATGAGATTTCTGACCTCAAAGAACTCGCTTTTGAACAAAAGAGATGGAAAATATGTGTGTTCTCTGCCTCTAAAAAAGTTGACTTTCACATCAGCGGAAGCAAAGTAAACACCTTAAGACACAGAGAGTGTAGAAACTTTTTAAAATGTAGGCTTCCAGTTAAAGAAACGGAAAAAAATGAAAATTTTTTTAAAATTCTCTCAAACTATCAACCATCTGACAGCCAAGTCAGTGTGCTATCAGAGGGTCTCAAATTCATCCCAACACCCGTGACAAACGAATGTAAAATCAGGCCAACTCTTACGAGATTTATTGGCAAGACGAATGCGCCTCCAATACACCTTCCACGGACAAAACAAAAAACCACTTCTGTTTCATATCAAACTGAATGCCACCAGTTCCGTCATCTATTGCTCTTCAGAGCTACTTGGAAAATTGTCATAAAACAACTTGCAGAGATTACTGTATCTAAGCCAAAAAATACTTTGTAACGCAATGAGGTCACGGCTCTAGAAGACTTGAAAAAAACTCTGCTTTAATTTAAACCTCGCAGAAGCAACTCAACAACAGTCATCATGAATGAGACAGAAAAAACAGAAGAGGCCAAAGTGCAACTCAACAACAGAGTTCACTTAAAACCTCTCAAAGCACCAATAGTAAAAAAAAAAGTAGGAAAGGGTTAATGAGGTCATCAACCAACCCATCGGAGCATGACTTAGAAATGGCTTTCACAAACTCCCAATATCCGCCTTGATACACAATCAGCCATTGCCGAAAAAAAAATTTATATATTATCCGATCATCTCTTACAAAAAGGGAAAACCTCTAACGACAAGCAAAACTACAATTTGAAGGCGATAAAGCGATGCGACCACAAAAGCCACATGGAGAGTCCGTGCCGTTCTGTCTTTAGTTTTATTCTCATGACAAAAATTCATCGTTTGCCGACGCAAAACTATTCTCAGAAGCTTCAGTTGATTTCCAAGACAATTCATTGTTAGAGAAAGTCGACATTTCACGACTGACAACGCAGCCGTTCTCAAAAAAGTAATACAAGTGACTCTCCGCGCAGCGAACAAAGAGAGTTGTTACAAAGCAAAGCAGAGGTTTGTTGAGCCTTTAACGTCATGATGACATTTTCTGCTGTACGATTTCGGGCTCGGCTGGAACATGCTTTTAGGAATGGCGGACGATTTTGGACGACTTTGAAGCGGTTAAAATTGGTCATCGAAGGTTTTTTTTAGTTTTTAATAGCGCAAATGGCTTTGACTTGACCTGATTCAACATTCTGGACAAAAATTGGCCCAAAATATATAAAATTGTAAATTTTCGTCTCGCGGGCATTAAGCGCGCCAAGTAAAATTTAGTTCGAATAGTACAAAACAATCAATGGGTGAACAAAGTGCCTACCTCTATTTGTAATATTCATGCAGAAGCTATTCACTGGATTGTAAATAGGACGATCTGATGGGCATATCTCTAAATTGGCTTTTATTCCAGTGGAATAACAGTGATAAAACTTTGCACAGTCGTTTGGATCTGGGAATGACCCTGTGGTTGAGCATATGAGACCGTCTGCGAAAAAAAAAATCACGAAACACAAAACGTTTACATCATTTTACTCTTTCAATACTTTGGGTGACCAAGACAGAATTTCTCCAAAAAATAGCTATCAATGATATTGCGCTAACGAAACCTCAAAGAACAACAACAACCATAACAACAACAATCACCTCTTTTCAAACAATCGGAATACAATTGTTATATCTTTGGGTTAAAAGAATTCTAAGACAGTACAACAGACAAGATGTGGGTCCAATAACTCCGTTTAGAGCACATGGTAATACACGCGACCGCTATACGTTACGCGGAATCATAAACTCGTTTCAAAAACTAAACAGTCAATATTAAACATCTCGATCGCTATAACAAGAATGACTCGCCTAGAACAGAAAATGAAGATATTCCTTTGAAAAGGCTGGCTCTCACTGACACGCATACGAGCGGCGAAACACGCGCGTTTCGAGCCGCCTTGAGACATGAGCGGGAGGACAGCGAGAATTTTTAGTACCAAATCCCTCACAAAATTCTAACTCGCCCTCTTCGCTCGCCAGCTCGAGTCTCTCGAGTTAAGCTTCTCTTTCTGCAGTGGTAATGAGAATCTACCCGCTGACAACCTATGAAAAGTATTCGTAGCTCACTTAGGACTAAATATAGAATAAAGTGATTTATAAAATGCCTCCGGTAGCTCTGGCTCAAAATGATCATAGACGCCATTCGGGCTGTGTAACATTGGCTCTGTCGTTGATAAAGCAAAAGAAAGGATTTATGATTTGCTTCTGATTCAAATACACCAAAAGAGAAAGTTCTTGATCGAGAGGAGAAAGTGATAAATAGTTAGTACGACTTGGTTAGAGGAAAGCTACAGCTAAGGAGCAGGAAGAAAGGTAGAACTGAATTTGTAGTCGCTCGTCACCTCCAAGATAGGCACTCCCTGAAAAAACCCAGCGCTCAGCTCGAGCCGGTATATACTTCACAGGAGCAATCACCAAGCATTAAACACATTTCTACCAAAATCAGTTTTTATAACTTTCAATGTGATTCTTTCAGATCAAAGTGTCGAGTATAATAGTATGTGCATTGGACAGTGCATTTTTTTAAGAAAAGCATCATTTAATAGACCACCGACATAGAATGGGAACCGAAGAGAATCAAGTAGGAAACTACAGTGTTATTATATCATCGGCAGCGCCCTTTGTGTCGACCTCTCGTGCAGTCCCAACCAACAACTTTCAGGAGAAGATAAAGTACAAGTGCAACACTCTAACAGTACTGCCTGAATTATAAATCAAATTGGATTTGACCTACCTACTGTGTTCTTGCCGTTTCCATAAAATATGCAAACCTTAGAAGCGATAACAATCAACACGTAAGGATTCAGTTTCAAACTGTACTCACACGTTAGCGAAACTCCAGTTTCTTACCTCAATCAGAAATAAAACAGTGCAACTCAGTTTTGACATAGCTGCAAGGAAAAGCTTCGGAGTAGCTCGGAATGAAGCAAAGATGGCGACGCTCCTGTAAAGGCATACACTTCCCCAGACTCAAATTCTTGAGGATAATGTTGGCAATGCTCCTGGGAACTCGAGATATTATAAATAACCTGTGGTCACGACAATGTACGAAAACTGAAACCGCCCTCTGTCCGTGTGATAGCTGCTGGGCTAATTTGACCACAATCAGAAAAATGTCGAGTCGGCTTACGATTCGACTAAAAAAATTTACATCATAATAATGAGTTTAGTTCTACCGGATTAACACGTTTCCTCTTCGACCTGGTGCTCACTATCAGTTTTAACTTTGACTCAAAGCTCTTAAGCCTTTTATCTTGACTATTATTTTCAGCTTCTAGAACGTTTTTAAAATCGATATCATAGTCGGCGGAACTCTCTATACCTTGTCACTCAACACTTCGCACACCCTTTTCAGACTTTCCCATATTGGGCTTTAGTGTTTTGGTTGTGCAACCCCTTGGCTAACTTAGTTACCAAAGTGCTACTATAAACACGACCAAGAGAATTTAAATAAGAGATTATCATACTCTGTCATTGATTGAAAACAAACAAAGAAGCTGAAAACAGCAAGAGATTGCTAGATGCGACTGTCTCCTGTTCAGACGTTTTCCTTTTATTTTATCTAATTAAGTTGTAGTAAGAATACGTATATTTAGATGAAAAAAAGTAACCATTGTTGTGTTTCATTAAGTTAGACCCTTGAGGCTGCCATTTTTTCTGCTATGCGCGCGAAGAACAAAGCTTGTCGCTCAGGTATCCAGTTCAATCGATAACCGATGAACTGTTACTTGAAAGGAGCCAGTTGCAACTTACTATCCCAGTCTTGGAGGAAAAGCAAATATCGCAACAATGGCCAAACACAGACCACCGTTTTCCGCAAAAAGCGAAGACGCTAGAGTCAGAAGATGATAATTAACAATGATGAAACCTGTATCGAGCGGAACGCACATTGAGTGAGCACACGGTGTAAGCAGTCACCAGCCAAAGCCTCACTTTAGCCGCCCTTATATTTGCCGTAAAATGAAACTTGATAATGTGGAAATCTCTTAACCGACGAACCAACAGCAACAATAATTTAATTGAGCTCTACTGTGACCCGAAAGCTACACCTATTATGCTGCAAGCGCATTAAGAGGTTTTTATAACACTAAGGTGGCATTATTAGAAAAAGTTCCCACGGGTTCCATTGTATTGTAGATTTCAGCGAGTCAAGTTCGGGACAGATTGATCGCCACAAATTAAATGAATTGGAATTACATTGCACTGAAACAGCTGCAAACACAGTGTAGCTGATCTTGGAAAATTCACAGATTTGATGGGATAGGCAGACCAATGTCTCGCCATCAAACTGTACCTTTGAAACTGCAGGTTTAAGCCCCAGTTGGAAGCCTGAATTATTCTTTCAGATATCACCGTAGGCATTTCAGTGCGTTTAAGATTTAATTACTCTTTGACAAGATAACAAAGCGTATCAACTCGTCATTTACCTGGTCAACTGCAGGTCAAGTATGATTTATTTCACTCGTTATTTGGTCTTTGTTGTCTGTGAAATAAGAACTGACAAGATAACTACGTGACAATGTAAATAGTGACTTCGAAACCGCATCCAATGATTGGAATGATTGGGCTGCCTTTCATGATAAGTTTGTTAATTCTCTCCTCTTGCTAATTTACACTTTCGTTGTAAATTAGTTACAAGAATTTGGTGTTAGATCAAGGTAACAACTCCTACATGATAAGTTTGAGTATTCTCAATACCTCCTTACTGGATAATGTATGGATATTATCGGAGGACGTTGCATGTTAAGTTCATCGCTACTGAGGGTTAATGGATTAACAAACTTTACTTGAATTAATTCTTTATCCACAGAAAGCTATGCTTTCATTACAATAATGTTCGACCAGTAGTCAAAAATCGACACATTTCAGATTACTAAGAGACGGAAGATTTTCCGTCACTCACATGATGATTGCATTGAAAGATAATTTGAACAAGCAAACTAAACATTCTTGTCCGGGCTTTACATACTGTGCGCGTGAGTCTTTGACCTTTTTTTCGGCCTAAGCGATTAATCGGTCACTTTCTGAAGCCGGCTACCGATATATTGTGATTCTGATCTAACGATTTTAGAATTCCTGGGTTAGACCTTAACTCTTCTGGACTAAGTCGGTGACTCTTTCACAGAGTGAAGTGACACGAAATCTTGATTTACGAAATTTTACATATTGCTGAATAAGAGCGCCAAACAGTATGAAACTCGGGGTTGATGAGATCAACATGTCAAGAAGGAAACCAAAGCGGTCATCTAAATCGTTACGGTGGCCAATTTACCATTTCAACTTTGTTGTTATATCCAAATTATAAATGTTCTTGACAACCTTGTTTCCAGGCCTCGCCTATATGGACGAGAAACAAACATGTGAGTTTTAAGCAACTGAGCGGGGGCGTTACCTAGAAAGGGAGCTAATGATTCCTGTTCTCCAGCTGACTGTTTATCTCGAGTCAGTAAAAATATTTCTCAAGTAATCAGTTTTTAATACAAAGATGGCATTAAGCATTGCTTGTAGAGTGGCGTGACTTTTTTCTTCCTCCTGTCGGACTTAAACAGCAAAGGAGCAAAGGCACAAACGCCGGTTTTTTTCAATTTTCAAAAAAAAAAAAAAAAAAATCTTAATGTAGCTCTAAACCGTGTGTACATATCTAAATCAGCGGTTTTATTCATCTCAGCCGTAGTCACTAAAACATGGAACGACCTACAACCACCTAAAACCACCTAAAACCATCTACAACCATCTACAACCACCTACAACCACCTCAAAAAATTCAACAAGCACCTACAACCACCTCAAAAACATCTACAACCACTCGCAAACAATCTAAAACCATCTAAAACAAGGTATAACTGTCTGAAATAAGGCGAGACGACAACATGTCACGTACATGAAATACGAGAATCGAACAAAACATCCACTCCCCCTCCCCCCAAAAAAAATCTTACTCTTACTCTTACTCTCCCTGGTCCCTTGCGTCATCAACCATTAAGCTTAACACAAACCTTCCACCGCACTGTCCTCATATGTTGGGAGGGCTGGGATATGAGTTTGATTTTGTTTCCTCTCTCTCTTGTGAAACTTATCGACAATTTGATTATAATTTAAGCAACAACTGATGGTTTGTGATTTTAAATTGTTTTAAAATCATGTTTAAAATGTCACATTACCAGTGATTACATATGGTGGGAAACCTGGAATATGTCTGGAAAATTTCATTTAGAATCTTAGCGGGAGCAAAACGNGGGGGAGGGGGAGTGGATGTTTTGTTCGATTCTCGTATTTCATGTACGTGACATGTTGTCGTCTCGCCTTATTTCAGACAGTTATACCTTGTTTTAGATGGTTTTAGATTGTTTGCGAGTGGTTGTAGATGTTTTTGAGGTGGTTGTAGGTGGTTGTTGAATTTTTTTGAGGTGGTTGTAGGTTGTTGTAGATGGTTTTAGGTGGTTTTAGGTGGTTTTAGGTGGTTGTAGGTGGTTGTAGGTCGTTCCATGTTTTAGTGACTACGTCATCTCAGCATGCTAAATGAGAAATGGCGGTTACCAAATTTGATTGTAAGTGCAAAAACCAAAACTTGATGGTGTTTCTTCGATGCCGTAGAGTCATTGTGGTAACCTTGTATTTTTCGAGTTTTCTCGATCATGTAGCTTTTTTCAAATAAACAAACGTAAATATATAGACTCTATGACCCATCAAAGAGTTGATGTGTAACCATTTTGAGCTATATGTTTTAAAGATAGAATGAAACCTTGAAGTGACAGTTTGTTAGGGATGGCAACTATTGATAATAAAAACAAAGCAAAGCGAAAAAAATGTTCTAGGGTCACGAGCATTTATACGGATTGCACCTTTAAACACAGAAAGGCAATATTTTTCAGAATGCTAAGCTTGCTTGCGATCGACTGGGTATGATAGATCGTTCTTTGTACTGAGTACGTGATCATGATCAAAATAGCGAAGTAGTTTGAATACATAATCATCGTAACCAATACACTAATGTTTCCATGCAGTTTCGATTTTTTAGTACTCAGTTCAAGTTCCCTGCATCACCTACATGATCAAAAATGTAATCCTGTCTTTGCAGGCCTGCGCAGATCTTGTCCAAACTTGCATTTTAAAATCAATTGTATATTTATAGCGGTTGTAGGGAGCGCCGTGAGAAATAACTGATTGTCAACAAAAAAATACTCATTCCTCATTGTTATTCTTCTGAATTATATTTCTCGCTGAAGAGGCCTTCAAAATATTGACCTTTTGTGACAGGCCATTGTATTTTGTGTCAATTGGGCGTTAATATAAAACAATTAATACTGCGCTGAATTCAATTAGCGTAGGAATTTTTTTGTTTTGAAGTTGATATACCAAGGTTATTGTAAGTTCCCTCTTCGTTTACACGGAACTGATCAAGGATATATCTGAAGCAAAGGTAAAAGTGACCCTTGGAGAAAAAAAGAGCAGGTATATCGATAGCTTGTGTTAATTTACGGTTTCTAAATCTTATGAAAACAGCTTTGACGACTCTTGAACCTCGATATCAAATGATTTGTAACGCTCTTCTATTGTAAAAAAAGTTAACGTTGCCATTTATTTCGTCGAGAACTCGCGCGGTGAATCCGACATTTCCTTAAAGATGAAGGCCACTAAGAAGTGCTTTAAAGCCTCATTGAAAGTTTGCATGTCACCTGAGTGACATGCAAGCTCATGTTGTGGCTACTCGAGATTAACCGGATGAAAATAGCGAAAGTTCGGCTGACGAATGCATGCTATTACTCTTGCGAGTAGAATTATGTTTATTTGGAAGTGAATAGACCGTATTCAAGCAAAAGAACTGTCTAGTGGAGTCAAACTTGTGAGCTTAGTAGGTTTAGGAATTCTCGGTAAATATAGAGCAAGTAAAAATTCAGATACAACTATTTAAATAACTCCTCTAATTATGGCTACAGAGAACAAAGATGTACGTTGTATCCGTGTGTACGTGTTTGCCAGCATCTTTGTGAAACATACTGTTCATTAAGTTTTTGTATTTTGGGCTGTATTAACACATGCTGCTTAGGGTATGACAATTTTTTTTTTCGAAACTGACGATATTGACTTGATGTTTACACTTGTGCCGTGAACTTAATTACCAAATTAGCATAAATATTGAAAGCGTATTTACTCACGTTCCCCTGTGCCAAGTTAATACAAGCCCACTCCAAATCTGTATACCATATTATGTTTTCTTACTTCTTGTTTCTAAGATGATTCCATAATCAAATGTATCCGTAGACTACCTAAATAATGCTCCTCATATTGTCTACGGATTGCATTTGTGCATGCGCAGTCAGCATTAAACTTTGTAATTACTTAAAGAAAGATAGAAAAGAGAAGCGTCAACTGTAAAAAGTCAGTTGACTCCATAACTTCAAAGATTAACTCGTGCGAGAACAAATATGCAAGAGAATAGAAGGGCTGGGACAAGGGTTTTGTTAAAGTCAAGAGAAAAAAGTTAGTATGGAATTACTTTAAGTCTTTATCCGATTAAAAGGCTAAAAAGATTGACTTGCACCTCCGCAAAGCAAAATCATGTTTAAGGAGGTTTCTGTTGATGTCTTCCATAGCTATCCAAATTAAATTACTCGAGGGGATTAAAATCTCGAACACTGAAGTCACAACAGATTGATTTTCATAACGCTTTAACTCCTAAGAGTGGCTAACATCAAATTTCCCCTCACACCATCACTCCCGAATCTTACATTAAGGTCGAGCGAATAAAGGAAAGGATCACCAACAAAAGAAGCTCTTGATTGCGAAAAATTTTTTTCTTGTCAGCACCTTAGGAAATGCATAATAAAGAACAGTACGGAGAATATGCATACTGATGCTTGGGCATAGAAGGTTAAAGTAGTTCTTGACGCAAAAAATTTCTCTGATATCATGCGTGAAATACGAAGCTTTATGAAATTAAAACGCCAATTTTCACAATTCCCGTTTATTTTTGCCTATTTTTTTAATTTCTCATTTGTTGTTTATTTTGTTTTGATTGGATGTATTTATCTGATATCGAATAAGATCTCTTGATGTTTTAAATAACGTACCATATTCGTTGGATCGGAGCCATGTCACAATTGAGTCGCATCCATACACTGCATTTGCTAATTATTGCTCTGTGTCAAGTGGCTGAATTTTAGTAATGTTTTTTTCTCTCTTTTTTTATTGTTTATGAATATGTTGGTTCAATTTGTGTAGTTTCTAAGCTTTTGCTTTTGTCAGAAGTAGTTGTACGAATATTAACTAGTGCTGATAAAGAATTCAGCCAATGGGAACGCGGAAGTATTGAACTGAGTACTTTATTGCTTAGTATAATTTAAATAACAAGCTGTAGAAGGTTCACTGAATGTCACGGAAACCTTATATCCGAGCTTTGTCCGACGTTTCAGAATTTTCATTTTTCCTCCCGTCGACTTTCACTCTTGTTAAGGAACGGAAAAAGTTTGGTGGAATTAGACCAATCTTCTTTGCAAATATTTCATTACCTTAGCGGCTTCTGCGAAAATCTTCGATCTAGACAGAGATTGATTCATATTAGAGGAAGATTTCCACCTCACATTTGTGTCTGATCTAACTTCCTTCTCGGTAAGTCACGAGAGACAATGTTTTGATGCTTGTTTATTTTTATAACGTTAACTTAGGTTGGATAGTTTCTTCGTAACGAACACATAATTTTAGTGATTTTGAGAATTGATAAGCTCCCATGGAGCTGTGAAAATCCCTTTTTTAAGCAAACACTGGTTCAAACCGTAGAAAAGCTTGACGCAAATTCGATATCTTTATCAGCGTGAAGGTGTTCGTACACAAGTATTGAAATAATTTGTCATTGATTTTTCGCTTTTTCCGGCGCTGAGATGATGTTGATTATAGTGTCTGACTGAAAAAATCGCTCCAAACTACTTTGGATTTTCCTTAGGTAGGTGACGAGAAAGAAAACTTTCTGCCATCGACTGTCGACTTTGTAATTGGCTTTTGAGACATACTGGTTGTATCAACAGCTCGACCAAGCATGGCTAAGGGCCAATGATCCGTCATGATCTGATGCGATGCAAGTGAATTCGCTTCATTTTTTCATCTTGTTTACAAGTGAATTTATCTATGTGATTAGTAGGGGGCATTTGTTTGTTTCTAGGTTTATTTTCTTTTGTTTCCTACAGAAAATTCTAGCGTGTGAGTTTCTATTATGGCGTGAGAATAATGAAAGCAGACGTCGAAAAGCTTTTCACATCCGGGCGATTGAGTTAATTAGTTGAAACGGAACACCTTGTCAATTTCTTCTCCTTTCAAAAGCCATCTCAGATTTTCACAAAAGAAGTCAAAGAAAATCGATCTTTTCAGATTTTAAGAGACTTCTTAGTTACCCAAGGAATTTGAGTAATTTTACAAACGAAATTTTCGCGGAAAATAAAAACTTCTCGATCATCTGTTTCAAATCTGCTCACACGATTTCACGAAAGCGCATCCAAACGATGTTAGCTCCACAATCTCCTTGTAGAAAGGAGCTCATCAGTGACACTCTATCTATGCCTACATTTCGCTGATTCATCCTGCTTGCTTCGTATCAAGCTGTGCGCTGGCATGAGGTTGAGGCTGTCAGGTAAATACAATATTCTGTCCCTCAACAGTGGGGGTTGTCACTGATTGTTTTGTTTTTATTGATTTGCAATCGTGGTTAGTTTATCACGGAGATCACGCTAACAACAAGTACCTCTATCTCGTATCTTCGCGCTCACGTCTCCGGAGAAAAAGGTAGTAAACAATTATACGGATGAGTTGTATTTCAAACGTTAGCTTAGAATATCATTTAATTCCCTTCTGGGAAATGAACAGGCATTTGCCACAGAAAGATTCCTTGCGCGAAAGAATGGTTGCGAAAGAACGGTTGAATGTATGTCAGTAATCAGTTGCAGCGTTCTGTCAAAATTCCATGGTGATGCAAGTCCTTTATTTCAGCTGTTGAAAGAAAAAAACCAGAAATTCGTGAACAACAAAAAAGTGTCAAATGACTGTGAGCCAAACTGAAAGTATCACCTTCAGTTTACTATCACGATTAACACGAGAAGACAGCTGAATCAGCTCTCTTAATGATATTTTCCTTATCCTTTCCATAATATTCTTCACAGTCAAATACACTAACTTTTAAGGAACCATCTATAATATGGAAAAGCTAGCTAACTTTTCCATTTATTTCTCAAAGGTCTCTTGAAAAATTAAATTAAAATTGAGCGATAGAAATTTCCGAGGCGGCGGAAATTTTTTCCCGTCGGGGTTAGATTGCCTTGATATTGTGAGCTTCCACTTCATGTAAGAATCTTCGGCAAAGAGCCAAAAAGTTCATAAAAGAAACTGACACCGGTGAAACTGAGTGGAATTTCAGTAAAGCTTCCGACAGTTTGAATGTTCAGTATTTTTTCGTACCACGGCCGGCTCTCAAGTCTTCTGGCATTGGACAAGAGAGAACCGCCTCAATTCATCACCAGGTTATTCACGGATAGACGTTCACACATCGTTTGTGTGATGTGTTAAAGTTTCCTGACGAAATTACATAGTTCAATTCTCTAGAAATTATTTATGCCGGCTCTCATCAGGAGTATATCTGAAGAGCCGAGGATGAGAAGTACGTTTTCATTATAGATCAACCTAGTTTAAATTCCCTGAGGGATATACAAAAGTCACCAAAGAGAAGTCTGTCATTCTCTGTTGCCCACCACTGAAACTGAATGTTTATATTTTGCGTCTGTCATAACGTCTCTCTCTTACTTCCTGGTCATGATCCATGGTAAAACATATTTATTCGTGTCATCGGTATTAGTGATTCTTCCACTAAATTGACTTTCTTTTAAATTTGATTTGTATTGACCGTGAATCTTGGGTTCTTCGGTAAATATGTTCTTTTTTCATCGTAAAACGGACTCAAATCATTTGATAATTGAGAAAACGTTTAAAGAATTACGGCAACTTAAAAACGGGCTTCAGAGCGATTAAACTGTGGTAAACTTACTTTGAAATGTGCTCGGTTTGTTTCTTTTTTTTTTATGCCAACTTTTTTTGGCGGGAAAAGTGACAGAAATAATATACCAAAAGGAAATGATACCTTTTGATCTTAATTATAAAATATATGAGAAAAACTGCTAGACAAAGGTTTACCACAAGGGAAGATGGTCTCTTGGGTAACAGTTTTATTGTCTAAAAGGGGATGCTATGGGATCAGGGACTGTCCAGTGGCAGCCGGATTACCGAAGAATTGACTGGCTCTTTAGGCCTCTTGGACTGGATTTTAAGGGACTTGACCAACATACGCCACTGGACAATCACCTGCCACCTCGCTTGGATCCTGTATGCAAAACTTTTGTAATCAAATTGGTTCTATAGTCTTCCAAGAGAGGATCAAGCTGAAGATCCCCTTTTGACCCTTCTGAGAATATTCTCATCAAAAGCTATGTACTTTCTTTCCCTTCACGATCGTATGCTTAGAGCGTCAATCATGGCCGCAGAACCTGAACACAACTCAACAGCCGAGCCTGAGCCCGAGAGTACAGCGGAGCCAAAAACTCTGTTTCCAGAGATAATGACCAATCAGGAAGCGTTCCTGATGTACGGGGTTTTTATCTTCTGCCTAGCTGTCTTCTGCATTGTGCTGCTGGTTCTCTACATCAAGTTGAAGAAGAGGTTAGTTTTATTTCTACCCTCTTACTTCGCATTTGAATACCTTCTTTTTTATTGAACGACAAGGGGTTGTTGAGTATTCACGATAGCGAGATCTGCCCTTGCGTGAACTGAGAAAAATCAAAAGAGACAGTCATCGAATTGCTGGGATCGTTTTGTGACATCATTTGACCTCGGTAAAACATCTGAGGGCTTAACATAAACATTCTGCTATGGGATTTCCTAGTCTCAGAATAGACAAATTTGGGTTGATGATTTTGTGTTGCTGTGTTGCAGAGAAAGACTGGCAGGTGTTCAGTTGTTAACCGCTTAGAGTAAACGGTTTGAACCCGGGGCTAAAATTTGCTCTGAGAGTGGTGGTTAACATTTGATCGTGTAATCTAATCTTCCGGATGGAATAGTCCTGAGGAGGCCTGTTGTTGTCGTTAATGGTGACTGACCTTTCGACCACCTGAGCGGAAGTCATCATCAGAGTCAAAGGACTCCGATGACCAGACTCTTTCCTTTCATAAAATTAAATTCTTTCTGGGAAATAGTGGGATGTTTTTCATGTTGAACTGCGTGGAGAAGTGATGTAAAACATTTTTATTTTCATTTACTTTTAGGGTGAAAAAACTGATGAATACAACTGGATCAGTGGACATGAAAGCTTATAATGGTTAGCCAGGGGTCAGTAGATGAAAATTTTGGATACTTTTGTCGCGTTTTTCACCTTCTGTGAATCATCTCTGATTTTTGTCTGTCTCAAGACTATTCTTTTAACACGTATTTCACATATTTCTTTTATCATGATTTACAATGACCTCGAGTGGNCACGTTTCCCACGCGCTTGCGTTGCCTCACTGATGTATAAAACAAAGCTAATTATAACATAACCAAAGTAAAGCGCGCGCTCTGATTGGTCAATTTAGCGTTCCCCATTTGCCCATGGGTGTACGCTGCTGACGTGAGCAAATGCAAAGACTATTTTTCCGCGCGCGCTTGTTTTTTCTGGTCGCGTAAGATTTGTTAAATAAACGGGAACTCTTTAGCTACAATGTATCAATGTTATGTTATAAAACAAATGGTAAACACCACAGCGTACACTATTGAGTTATGGATGCACGCGGGAGGTTGCTAAGCACGAAAGAAGCGTAAGAGTCGCTCGAGGCGATAGCCGAGAGCGACTCTAGCTTCTTGAGTGCTTAGCAAACCTCCCAAGTGCATCCATAACTCAATAGTGTACGCTGTGGTGTTTACCATTTGTTTTATAACATAACATTGATACATTGTAGCTAAAGAGTTCCCGTTTATTTAACAAATCTTACGCGACCAGAAAAAACAAGCGCGCGCGGAAAAATAGTCTTTGCATTTGCTCACGTCAGCAGCGTACACCCATGGGCAAATGGGGAACGCTAAATTGACCAATCAGAGCGCGCGCTTTACTTTGGTTATGTTATAAACTTTTTTTTCTCTAAGTGAAAAATGTTGGAAAAGAAAAAAGATTCCTTAACGTAAAATTTCAACTGTAGCTCTATACACGTTGATTAACAGAAGAATGCTTGAAACTTTATCATTAATTGCAACGGCGCTTTATCGGCAATGAGTTTTTCTTAGGTATGTGTTTTCATATCATTTGTAAGTAAAAAAAGCCACTACCTGCTTATGAAAACTCTTATTCCAATTTTGCACAGAGTTCGCAACCTTTCCGAGAAAATGGGATATGGACAAGGTCATTTGCAGATGGGCATGGCGGAGAAAAAAGGTTTGTTAAAATGTTTAGTTTTCTTCTGATTCAGTGGCAAGGTGAAAAAGTGGTTATCATTACAATCCAATTACATGACAAAGCCGTAGGTACCAGTAACATGAAATTGAAGGACCCTACCCCCACCTCTATGATACACCTGGTGTTCAGGCCCAGAACTCCTACTCGTTTCGTCCCATATTAAGTTTTGTCGAAGTAATAATACCTGACTTGTTCAGTGTTTTAACGATAGAATTTCTTTTTGACAGGTTATGTTGCTTGAAGATTTTGATCTACCACCAGAACGTTTGCCACAATTTTCTGTGTAAATAAATTCTCAATAGAACACACACGTTTTGTGTTTGTGCACCCAAATAGAAAAGTTATGACTCCTTGCAACCGGCACCATAACTGCATTATCTGAATCGACAAAAACCAAAGCCTATTTAGTCAGCTTCAGTGACTTTACTTCTAACTGGATGATACCATGACTTGTCTGATAACGAGTTACTTTATCGTTTTTGCTCTTGTATCATTCGTATAGGTATTGCAAACGTTTACGTGTATATTTATATCTAAAAAAAAGCAGAAAATCGATGATTAAAGAAATAAAATTTTCGAGTTCACTCGCTCCGCTTGAACTTTGCATTGTTGTTTCTCGACTGTAAAAAATTGGGGAAATCACATTTGACACATTTTGCTGGTTTCACAATACAACCTTAGCACTCCGCTGCTTGTCGACTCCAGATCTTGATGAGCACACGCCTCATTGCTAATTTTCCATACGTGATCTACACTTCGCCAGGGCTTGGGGTTTAATTTTACTGGTGATTTCAATCATACCCAAATCTCCCATATGGCCATGCTATGATGGTCACTTGTCTCGCTTTACTGTGACATAGCCCTTGCACGCTTACTAAGCCAGCAACTTTGTAGCAGATGAAAGAGTTCTTAATCACGCTTAAATGAAACCAATGACGTTAAAGTTGCCTCTGAAAATGTATTTTTTGGTTTGTGGCTCAGTCGCTGTGTCTGCTCTGCAGACCTACGTCTTCAAAGTGACCCGTCAAAATGGTATCTCGTCAAAAAAATTAGGATATTATGAAAGCAGTTTAGTTTCGTCCCAAGTCCTCCTCTTGCTACAATCTTCAAAAGCTGCCCTGTTTCTGGTTCTCTCAGCCTTTATTCCTTGCGGGAGCAGTCTATCGTAACGATAGTTTTAGCCGGGGGGGGGCTATTTTTCGGCCACTAAGGTTATTCATTGTCCCGCTCTCTTGCGCAAAAATATACAAATTAGCAATTGTATTCATCAAAAATAAGTGAAAGAGAGTAGATAAATGGTATGACATCCCAGTTTTTTGTTTAGGTCAATCGTGAAGTTATGATTCAAATTTCTAGCTAGATTTCTCATTGGATACTGATTAATTTTTACTCCTTTGGAATCCATATCCCACAAAAAAACCGTAACCTTTTGTTTCCTCCCCCCACTCCTTTTGCCCCCACCCTCCATGAAACTTACCCACTCGCTGACTGACCCCTTTGGACAACGAAACAACTTCGGAAGATATCTGACGCTCATTGATGTTGTTAAACTAGAGAGGAAAATAGGGGGCAAAAACGCTGAAAAGTGAAGCCCTAATATTTGACATCCGATGGAATCACTTAATAATACCTACTGTGTTATTCTTCGGCCCTGTACTAACATGTTTCTCCGAAATAAACACCACCGACTACGAGCACGCTAATTAGAAGGTCGATTACGGTCTTTAAGGTTAGGGAGAGCTAGAAAAAGGCTCTGGAAAGTTACTAAAATAATGTTTTATCTGTTTTATTCGATCTGATTTTATCAATCTTATTTTTTTGGGAGGGGAGGGGGGTTTGCTTGGTTCAGGATCGATCAGGTGTTTTGTTTTCCTCTCTGGCAGATTCAACGAGAAGATTGGGAACAAGTTATACTTTCGTCGGCCACGAATACAAAAGACCCCCAGCAGACACGTAAGGAACGAAGTTTGTTACGAGATCAAAATACCGCTAAATATTCCACTTGAGAAAGCCTGAATTGCCCCCTTTTCACAAAAATTAGGACTGAGCGAGGTTTTTCAATATATTTTTGAGGTAACGAAAGTTTTCCAGCGATAAAAACGTTATCTGAATCGTTATACCAGCGAGAAACAATGGACGACAACGTTGGCGTTCCGAGGACAGGCGAAGGATTATCGGTAGTGCCTTCGTTATCTGAAGTAAGCGAACAGATCGCCATCGCCGAGCACATCCCGACTGAACACGAAACTACCACAACTGCCGTCTTCCATGCAGGCGAAGAGGCTTCGAACACGAATGTCGGTGGACATCCACAGTGTGAAGTGCAAGTGGTGAAAGTCGGAGATGGCAATGTTAGTATCAGTTTCGCCACCCCTGCTCCGGCCGTGTCACACATTCAAGCTTCTCAAGCCTCTTTACAACCTATTCAGGAGGTCATCGCAGACAGTCCGGCGCATTCTACGCGATCATCTAGTCCGAATCTTCAAGAATCGCAAGCCGTGACAACTATTCAACAAGCAGAACAAGATGAAATATCTGGGAATCAACACGCCGACAATGGTTCACCTTTGGCACGTCAGAAGTTCGAAACCCAGGGAAAATCGGCGTGGGATGCAGCTTTGAGTACAGACGTGCTCATCGTCCGCTGCAGAAACGAAACAGCTGAGTTATTCAAGACAAAACTTGGATCAGGAGGTCGTGGAAAGTGCATTAAGGTAAGCAATAAAAGTATCACGCTCGTTTCAGACTGATTTTCTGCAGTAAAGAAACTCGGGTCTTTGATCTTACATTTTTCGTGCCATGTAAAGATAAGAAATTTTTGAGCTTCCGTTTCTGTGTATTGAGGATTGTAATGGTTCACAAAACCTTTCAACTGAGTAATATCGCTTCATGGTTGTAAACTAATCAACCACAGATATCTTGTTTTTGTTGTGTATAGTTATTACCGTTCTTTGTACATTTTTTTTTCTTATTTTGGCTTCATCGCTCATAACAATTCTGATACAACAAATGTATATCTTTCCCCAATGTCAGCTACTGCTATGTATAGTGTTACTGTCATATTTGATATGGGTGACCAGGGTCCACTAGTACGTCATAGGCCAGCAAAAGTATAGTTTCTTGCACAAATGCCAAAAGGAGAAAATAAAAGAAAGGAAAAGCAACAAAGCACAAAATAAAACCTGATGAAATTAATTTTAGTTAGTCCCCATAGCAAATTTCATGATGCATTATATGAGGTACACTGAGCTGTAACATGGATTGGGAGAAATGTTTATTTTGATAAAATGTCAGAAATTATTCTTTTGTCTCTGTGTTCTCTTACTGATCGACAGTATCAAGACCAATGGATGACACCATCAGAGTTTGAAGCACGTTGTGGAAGGGCATCTTCAAAGGATTGGAAGCGTAGCATACGTTATGGTGGTCGAACCCTCCAGTCTTTGATTGAGGATGGAATTCTCTCCCCTCATGCCATTTCCTGCACTTGTGCAACTTGTTGTGACGATGACACTTTGGTATGTTGAACAGACAGTTTATTTTAAAATTTTCATTCCAGGAAATAGTTATTTCTTATGTATTCTGATAGGTTAATAAAGAATGATGAATGTCTTGACACTAACATGATAAATTATTGATGTAAAGACAAATTATTGACTATGAAAGTAAAATTTTGCTCAAATTGGAAAAGCAGTGGCGTGAATAGGCCAAAACTGAAGCACCCTGCATGGGCACTGTAATCTATACAAGTGTACAGCTGACTGTGTTTGTACCAGAAAGCTATTAGACACTATATAATTATGTGCTTGTGAAAAAATTAATGCATTGGTTACTTTTGTAGGGGGCAAGAAGACCATCTTTCCAACAATGCTCTGGCCCAGGGTCCATTCCCAAACCTTTTTTCACTTTAAGGTTTAATTTAGTTTGTGGTTGGTTCTTATCTTTGCTCTGACAGTTTTTCTCTGGGTTCTTTGCTTTTCCTTCCTCTGGAAAAACAGCTCTGTGATGTCTAATTCAGTGGGAAATGGTAAACACCAAGTACCACTTTGTGGGTGTCTACAGCTAAATCTGATGATTGTTATTGTTATTAGTTTATGCTATTAGTTTATATACAGCTGTATATTTAAAAAAATCATCTTTGTTATTGTTATTGGTTTATGCTATTAGTTTATATACAGCTGTATATTTAAAAAAATCATCTTTAATTAGCAGGTGAAATCCACTGTACAGTTATTTGTGACTCCTGGATGACAAACCAGCATTCTACATACATGTACATGATACCTGTTATTGAAATTTAGATCATCTTGAAAACACTTTGTGGAGAGATCACCTCAAGCACTTTTTATTTTCCTTTTAGTTTTCTCCAAACTATTGACTCTTGACCATATTTGACTTCTTTTTGTTACTTGAATTTATTATTGTTATTTGCAATTCTAGGCAGCAATTTACAATGCATACCCATTATTATTGTAGTAAGAATCAAGAAACTGTACTCCTCAAGATGTACACAAAAATTTTACTTCTGCAAGACAAATGAAAATTATAGCAGTATTCTAATTTATTTCCTGGATCTTCATCAGGCTGGTCCAATAAGGCTGTTTGTCCCATATAAACGTCGTAAGCGTGAGTCATCGCAATCTGGATCACCGATTCTGAAGAAGAGTTTGTCTCTCAGTTCTGAGAACTCAAGACGAGATGGTAATTAATCTAGTCTTGCACTAGCAAGTTTTTATTTTGGATAAATTTATACCCATGCTCACTCTTGGATGTAGATGTTTAAAAAACTTTGTGACAGAGATATACATATTCATGTAAACACAGGAAAACATGTGAAAGTGTATTGTGATTGTCTGGGTGTGTGTAGTCCCCAGAAGGACTGTTATTGGTTGTAGTGACTGAAGTTTTGACAACCTGTGCGGAAGTCATCATCAGAGTCAAGTGAATAGTTGTTGTCAGTAGAATGTTCTTATTTCAGTTTGTGTAAAATGATTGGTCAGTTTTGCCGTGATGTTATTGGCTGTAAGACTCGAGTGGCGTAAGTTGGTCGTGACTGGTCTGTTTCGATCCGTCGGTAAAGTTAGGTCATTCTGTTTAGTTTGTTTGTAATGTTTATGTTGTGTTTGTTGTCATGTCATGTTTATGACGACATAAACATTACAAACGAACTGAACAGAACGACCTAACTTTACCAACAGATCGAAACAGACCAATCATGACTGACTTACACCACTTGAGTCTTACAGCCAATAACATCATGGCAAAACTGACCAATCATTTTACACAAACTGAAATAAGAACATTCTACTGACAACAACTATTCACATGACTCTTGATGATGACTTCCGCACAGGTTCAAGCCATTTACTACAGGAAAACATGTTGAAAGATTGCAGGTTAATGCAAACCAATTCAAAGTTCTAAACTTCATTTATATAGTTGTGTGTAAAATGGAACCTTTATTACAGCACAGCTGTCATCCTTTCTCTAATGAAAATAACTGCGTGTTCTCACTTGTTTACACCAGTTTGTTTTTGTTACTGGGCAATTTTGAAGTGCATTATGTACTGTCACATTATAGGCCTGAATTAGAAATGTTTTTAGATATTATAATTGTGAAATATGTGTGGAGACAATCAGTCTTGCAATTCTAATAATAGCCATGTTATTATCAATGTCTAATTTCTTTATGATAATCAACATTCTTATTTTACATCTTTTGTCAAAGCCCATGGATTCATGATGCGATCTGTTAGGTAAGAATTATTTTCAGTATACTGAAAATTACACTTAACATGTACATGCTGTGTGCAGGAGTGTGAAATTTGCATCTTAAATTTGTATATATTGGATGAACAAAAGAGATGTTCTGTAGCATTGGTAGGCTAGTGAAATACTTACTGTGTGTTTTATTATCAAATTGAAATTGACTTCAAAAAGGGTACATCTAAGTTGATGAGTGACTATGTTTTTTCAGTGTTGACTCAGCATCGGGTGCTTTTGCTACCAACGAGGATGGGACAGTTATGGACACTGGAGGTAATAAAAATGTTGTCAAAGTTTTTACTTTTATGGTTTTTTTTTATGGTTAATTTCATGACATCTTCAGATTTAATAGACTTATCAGTACATAAAATGTTTGTTCAATGTATACTGCAAATTCCTAATTGTGAAAACCCTCAAAATTTATGAGGATTTTTTATGACCAGGCCTACACTTTGTAGATGTGTCTATTATTTTTACAGATAGATTACATGATTTCTATTGCCTACAGAGATCAAGGGAAAATAATCTTGTTGTTTTTTCATTAAAATAAACTAGAAAGGCTTGTGATTTCACTATCTACTATGGAAACGATAGAGAATGGAGCATTCCATAGAGAATCCAGATAGAGAATCCAGCATATTGATGTTATTGTTGAATCATTGTTTTTTCCTGCAACTAACAGAGGATTGGTTCACTTCATTGGTTATTTAACAATTATTCCACGAGCGCGCATTGGATATGAGATGATAGATAGCCAACAAGGCGCGTAGCACTGAGTTGGCTATAATTATCTCATATCTAACAAGCGCGAGTGGAATAATTGTTTTACTAAAAACGTTAAATTAAATTATTCAATTTTATTCAATTTTAAGCTCCCTTTTAATTTTAAACTGACACGTACGCTTGCCATATTTGTAGATTATGGTGTATCTGCTGATATACCATAATGGCTAAGCCAATTAAAAAGTCGTAAATTGCATTATCCAATGATCTAGTTTTTAATAATTAGATTTATCCAATGGTCTGGTGACAGTCAGCAGCTGCGTAACAAGTGCAGTGCCACCTCAGACTCCTGCCACTCCTCTTACACCCATGATGAGTCCCTGTCCTCCAATCATGACACAGGCGGCAGCAGTCAGACCTGAAGGTCAACAGACCATCACAGTTACATTACCTGTTACACCTCTCCCAACTGGAGATGCAGTCGTAGATCAGAGAAGACATTGGTGGCATATCGAAGAGGTAATTGAACATATGGTTTGCAATGTAGTGAATGATGCTTTACCATTGAGCTAGAAGGCTGTTAAACATGAAATTATCTTACTGTGTAGGTTGGGGTGTGTTCTCTGAACTGTTTGCTGCAAACATTTAATCAAGTATTTAATTAAGCAATATAACACGTTTATCGGGCTCTGTAAGGTGATAAAGCCTGCAGGATGTTGGGAGAACACTCGGAATGTGTTTTATAAGCTTTCCGAGTGTTCTTCCAATGTCCCAAGTGGCTTTATTNCACTGGTGGCAATTTGACTTAAACGTTACGTGTAGCCTCTCATGTGAAACTCACTTCAAATGAAAGCCAAGATTGTGAAAAGAGAAAGGGACTCTGAAATTAGGTGTAGTGTCTCAATAATGGAGCGTTAAATATAATCCATCACGAAGATTTTGATCAGTTTGCAAACAGCAAAACCAGAGTGTTATTCACTGAGTGATTTTTGCTAAGTGAATTTCCACCAATATGAATGAAATCATATGAAACTTACATCACAATGCTCTGAAGTCAAAGTATATTGCAAATTAAAAGCACATACAAGTACAGCAAAGTGTACTCAAACAGACTTTGGCATCCTTTTGTTGTTAAAGATCTTATGAAGAAGGTTTACATTGCATACATGTTTATTTTTCATACTTCCAGAAATGGCTTTCAAATCCAACTTGACTCCATTAGCGGAGAATTTTGGATTTCATTCAATTTAAATGCATAGAAAGATCACATGACTGTTCTATATCATTTTATTCTCCATCAAACATTTCTCAGCAATGGAATTATAAAAGAAATGTCATATACCTGTAGTTCCATTGTGTTTTTTGTTGATTTATTCTTAATGTCAACAATAACTTTGTAGGCCCTGGCACAAGCTCGTATGAACTCTCTGATGCAGTTTTCTCGGGCATTAAATGATGCTCGAGTGGAAAAAGAAGCTGCAGTAGCACAAGCTGTGGCTCAAGCAAAAGCTGAGAAGATGGAGGCTGCTGCTGATGAACGACAGGAGCAACTTATCAAGGTAGAAGGAAAAGCATTGCATAGCTTTTTTGTGCGACAATGTGTGTTCTATTTGTAAACTTTATTGTACTGAATCATGTAATTGAATGGTATCACCAGTCACAGATTCACTTGAACATGTATGTGCTACAATCTCATGACCAAATGATTAAACTTAGTACAGTTATACTTGAACTCTGACCTCCTTCATTTACAGGAAACTTTTACATGTTTACATGTTTAATTTATTGGCAAGCCAGTTGTATGAGTAAAACCTTTTTTCAAAGATAAAGGCTGATAGTTTTGAAAGAAACTGTTTGGGGCTGCATTGGTGGGAGTAACGAAATAATTTGGATATATTAACAAAGTTGAAATGGTAAATTGGCCACCGTAATGATTACAAAAGCTGAGGTTTCGAGCGTTAGCCCTTCGTCGGAGTGAATAGAGGAATTGTGGGTTGTTGTGTGCTTTAAAGGCAGAAAATGGAGCTACGTTATTGGTGGGAACATGGCAACGGGAAAAACAAGAATAAATTAGTGGAATGAAAAGCGTTTGTTGATCCCTGTCGGATTTAGACTGCTGGTTTGAAAGATGAGCTTTTGTTCAAGATTTTTTCCGTGCTACCTAAGTGTATGGAAAGACCGCATATTGCCATATGTTGCTTAGAATGATGAAGTAAATTAAAATGTCTAGCGGCTGATTTCGATGTGTCCTTGTCATTCCTTTCCATGTCCTTTCCACGTCTCTTTTTTCAAAGAGCTAGTGATAATATTCTTATTGGGTTATTACCACTTCTTTACATAGCACCATTTACCTGTGCACGATCTCTGCTCACCTAAGTAAAGTAGAATGGAGGGGCATTCTTCTTTACTGGTTTTTGTGAAACTAATGTAGCCCAGATGTAAATTGCTGATAGGAGGTTTTTGTTTTCACAGTCCCTTAATGGTGGTGAAGGAGAAATAACAATGGAAGATGACCCCTCAGTTGTTGAAGAAGGAGAAAAGAATGGTGTGGAATAGAACAAGATCAAGTTGAAACCAACGTACCTTTAAACTAAACTGAGATATGAAGAACCTCACAGTGATACATGTACATGTACTGTGGAGTACTTGACAGACCAAAAGCAGCGTTTGAAGCCCCAATGAAATTTCTATAGAGGTATCAGGAGTACCGGTACTGCTTGGAGAAACTTTCCCAGATTGGTTGATACAGGAATTGTTCACCTGTGACGGCATTTCTTGATTTCATTCATCATACAAGCATCCTGCCCACCACTTTAATTCTACTCGTACATGTACCTTTGTTGTTATTTCATTAAGGTGATTTCCCTTGGCTGTCTCTCGTCAGAAAAGTATGAACTTTAAATGTACTGCTGTTCTTTCAATTTTTTGTTTGTTATGTAGACAGTGCTGTAATTTCTCAAGACATCTGGCCAATATTGTTTAAGGGTTGAATAGTGCCATACATCCACACTGGATAGTACTTGTTTCTATTTGAGTGTTGCCAAAGAAAATGAAACTATTCTTAATGACCCATCAGAAAAAAGGAAAACATCTCAAGGAGCTTTGTAGAGGAATCACAGAATGAAGTGAACCAGAAGCAATACAGCTGTGTGAATAGCTTTTGGACACTCAGTTGAAGACTGCTCTCATTGTTTTTACAAAAGGTAGTGAGCTTTCCAGTTATTTTTCTGGCCCCAGTTGTTCAAAGGGTGGACAATGCTATCCAAGGGTTAAATCACTATCCAGTGGATAAGTGTTAACAAACTGTGCTGCGCTATACACTGGATAGGTAGTTATCCAGCGGATAAGTGTTAACAAACTGTGCTGCACTACACACTGGATACATTAGGTAGTTATCCAGCCGATAAGTGTTAACAAACTGTGCTTTGCTATACACTGGCTAGGGAGTTATCCAGTGGATAAGTGTTAACAAACTGTGCTGGATATACACTGGATAGGGAGTTATCCAGTGGATAGCATTACCCACTCTTCGAACAACTTGGGCCTGTCAATAGTGTTGTTCACTCTTTGTACAGAAGTGGGGCCAAGAATTTTGATATTTTGTTTGAGTTAACATTTAAGAAGCAAACATGCTGCTCTTCCTCTCTCTCTCTCTCTTGCCCCCTGGGAAAAGAGAGAGAGATAGAAGAACCTGGAAGGAGCTTAATGTGCTAGAGGGAGGCAGTGTGGCGAACTATTTTAAAGGAGAACTGAAGTCTTCAGAAGGCCACTGTTGTAAATATTTGTGGCCAACTTGTTTTAAGTTCTTCCAGTTGGTTTTGTTAACTCTTGTGTCATTACACTGCTAGGGGTTGGCAAACTTTACATATTTTGTGACTGCATATACATTTATGCATGTTTGTATTTGTTGAATTTGTAAAATAAATACATTTGATCGTTACAAAATTTGTATCCTTCTGGTGGTCTGCATATTGTACCAAACAAATGCCACTCATAAGCATTCCCAATTGTTTCCTTGTCATCCTAACCATGGAATGTAATTTCTCTTACTCATTCCTTCAATCAATCAATTCCTTGAAACATCCCTTATGTGTTCAGTTCCTTTTCCTTTCAAACACCATTCCCTTTCTCACTTGTTCCCCACCTTCTCCCACCATCCCCCCTCCCCCCCTCCCACACTCAATTTGGGTATCTCGTGTATGAGTACAGTGGAGCTATTTGTCATCGTTGTTGCTTCTTTATTCATTTATTATTTAATTCGTTAGTTTTTGTTTTGATCTTCATTTTTAATAACCCCCGCCACACCACAAGAGGAGAAGTATTCATACAACTATATGTAGCTCCATGGTTCACTTCTCATTGAAAATTTCATTGATGTTGACTTTTCATTAAATATAAAATAAGGCAAGAAAAATGACATGATTTGTCTTCTACTGGTACTCTGTAAAGTAGAGTTGACAGCATCAAGTCACCATTTAGTCTGTGTTTGGTTTGTTTTTCTGCTGTGATTTTTCTGTTTTTTTGACCCATATCATTTATCTGTTTCTCGAAAGTCCTGGTAACTTACTGGGCCTGTAGCTATGTTTTAAAATCCACATTTAAAAATGAAAGAAGCAGGTATTAGCACCGTTGGTTTCTCTAGCTGATAGTTTTGCTGGATAATTTTCGAAACTTTGACACCCCCTTGAATGTAAAGAGCTCAGCACGATTGCTAGTCTCCAGGGTCTCACCGCGTACGCAGTCAAAACATCTCCCAGCACTCATTGCGGGTATATAACTTGGCGACTTTATCGCTGCCATGTGGACAAGAATTGACTGGAATTTGCCTTTTGCAAAGCTCTGTTTTTAATTTTAACGGCTCAGAATAGTTTTCTTAAATCGTGTCGAATGTTTCATGACTTAATTCACTTTTTCGATGGCTGAAGTCTGGAAACATCCTGGATAGTGCACCAGAGATGACCTCGATCAGAAAGACCTGCTGGCAGGTAAGATTTTGCACGCTTGAATGACATTGTATTTACTGTAATGCTGTGTTGACAGGCATTCAGTCATATGGGTATCGATTTGGATACTCTTTCTGACAAAAATCATCTCATGTGACGAATAATATTTCTCAGCATATTTTGCTTTTTATTTAAGGCAAAAATGATAGTCAATGATAACTTGAATGTCACAATTTGCTTGTCATCCTTGTAGCTGAGCTCATAATGGTGATTAAACTGAGTGGAACTCTATTTGGTCTGAAGTCGTACGCATGATTTCTAAAATCGAATGAGCGCACAGTGCGAGTTTGATTTGAAATCACAACACGTAGTGCAATTACCACTTTATGACATCCATTTTGTAATGCAGTAAATGGCTTGAACCCGGGGGTAACATGTGAAGGCGTAGTCTGATCGTCCGGGTGAGTGTAGTCACTGACTATTTTCAACGACTGACTCTGGAAAGCAGGTTTACTAACTTAGAACAGACTCCCCTAAACAGATGTCAACAACTACCCGCCCCATACAAACGACTCATTCACGACATAAACATCACAAACGACCGAAAAAGAACGACCTAACTTTACCGACAGATCGAAACAGACCAATCACGACCGACTTACGTCACTTGAGTCTTACAGCCAATAACATCACGGCAAAACCAACCGATCATTTCACACGAACTGGAATAAGAACATTCTACTGACAACAATCATTCACTTGACTCTGATGATGACTTCCGCACAGGTTGTCGAAACGTCAGTCACTACCACCGACAACAGTCCTTCTCAGGACTACACTCACCCGGACGATCAGACTACACCTTCACATGTTACCCCCGGGTTCAAACCATTTACTGCATTA